CCGTACTTCCTTCAACAAACTTCGAGAATATCTCTTGGAGTCTTTAGAGCACATTTTGGGGCAGGCGGTTCCATGCATACCCGCCTTGTGTCCGTGGCTGGTTATTTGACAATTATTCGCCGAAGGCGAGGTGATTATCGGTGAATAAAAACCGAGACGAAGTCGAGGTTTTTATTCACGATAATCACCGAGCCTGTGGTGAATAATTGTTTTAGTATAATTTCATAGGTGATTATTTGGAAAAAAATAAGAAAATACACATTTCTTCATCATTTAATTGACAAAAAGGCTTCGGCCGCCATTTTGAAAATCGCTTAGGTGATTATCGCGTAATAATCACCTCAACGGCAACCAATCAGCGTGGAGAATTTTCAATAATCACCTATGTAATTATACTAAAGATGAATAAAGAAATTATTGCAAGTAACTATCGCTTGCTTGTATATGAAGCCCCGTTTACACTACGCTCAATTTTTGTACGGCACGGATAAAATTGGTACCCGTACCACTTTTTTGGTTATTGGACTATCTAAATGGTCAGCCCCGTTTACACTACACTCTATTTTTGGTACCGTACTACTTTTTTGGTTCTTGGACTACCTAAATCCAAGAACCAAAAAAGTAGTACGGGTAACAATTTTATCCGTGCCGCACCAAAAATTGAGCGTAATGTAAACGGGACTTGACAAGAAGCAATGTAAATGGTTCCCCATATAAATTAACGCGATATCATCTACCAAATATACTATATACAAACGTTATCTTCATGCATAAGAAATGTACAAACCTTGGGTGAAGTTTCTGATGAAAGAGATGTTTGATTGAGCGATGGATCCCCATTATTTGGTGGCTTGAAGCCATTGATAGGAACAAACACAGGAGATGGTGATATTGGTGATTTCAGACCACTCTCGCCGTTCTTCGTTGGACGACCTACAGTAACAATGACATATAATTCACAAATAATATACAGTAATTGTCACTGAATTTTGCTAATGTGACACATTTTAGTTTTAATCATTACAATTTACAAGGAAAATTTGTTTGTTTGTACAGCCGTCAAGAAAAACTGACAAGTGTACAAGAATACTTCTATGCATGGTCTTGGCAAACAAAAAGGCGACATTCACACGAGTGATAAAACCTGTCAAGGAAAACTTATTGATCGTATACACATACGAGAAGGTAAACTTGTCGGGGAAAACTTATTGATCGTACACATACGAGAAGGTAAACTTGTCAAGGAAAACTTATTGATCATACACATACGAGAAGGTAAACTTGTCAAGGAAAACTTATTGATTGTACACATACGAGAAGGTAAACTTGTCAAGGAAACTTGTCAAGGAAAACTTATTGATCGTACACATGCATACGAGAAAGTAAACTTGTCAAGGAAACTTGTCGAGGAAAACTTATTGATCGTACACATGCATACGAGAAGGTAAACTTGTCAAGGAAACTTGTCGAGGAAAACTTATTGATCGTACACATGCATACGAGAAGGTAAACTTGTCGAGGAAACTTGTCAAGGAAAACTTATTGATCGTACACATGCATACGAGAAGGTAAACTTGTCGAGAAAAACTTATTGATCGTACACATACGAGAAGGTAAACGTGTCAAGGAAAACTTATTGATCGTACACATACGAGAAGGTAAACTTGTCAAGGAAAACTTATTGATCGTACACATACGAGAAGGTAAACTTGTCAAGGAAAACTTATTGATCGTACACATACGAGAAGGTACACTTGTCAAGGAAAACATATTGATCGTACACATACGAGAAGGTAAACTTGTCAAGGAAACTTGTCAAGGAAAACTTATTGATCGTGCACATACGAGAAGGTGAACTTGTCAAGGAAACCACGCTTGTCTGTATGGGGCTTAATGCAAAACATAAATTGGACTGACATACCACGTCCTCGTTTAATTCCAGTGGATGGTCGCTTTGGCTAAAAGTCGAATTAAATGTATAATCAATAAAAATGTGAGTCCTGTTATTTTACGGAATAATTCAAACGTTTCGTCCTATTTTTTTAAATTAAAAAGGTTTCCTAATTTGATCCATAAAGGATCAGCACTAAAGGTCAAAGAAGTTGTGAAACTTTATTTATAATTATCATAATAGAGAGCTGCTGAGCCGGAGTTACAGCCACACAGCGGATGTTATTTATACTTGGCTCGTGGGTCACTTCTTTGTTCTTACCACGTTATGACGTCATACTGAGTATCCTATATTGTGTATCCATACACAACTGCAAAATGTTACCTGGGTTTTTTATATACATACTTATAGGTTATGATCTTATAGGTTATGATCTTACTTCATCAAAGAACTGAAAAGAACTATAGGGTGAAAATATTGCGCTTGTTCTCCTCCTCCGTTCGTTTTTCTGAGAATTGATTTCTACAAAATAAAATTACGGCACAGTGTAGTACTTCAAAAACTAGGTTATGCATGGGCAATAAGAAAGCTTCGGATTGAAGAGGATGTAGTAGAAGTAGTTTATTTAAATATACATAAATTACAGTTTACAAACTGAATTGATTATGTTTACAACAGGTAATTTAGAAAATTATCATAAAAACTATATAACTATTTACAATAAAACTCATTGTAACGACTAGCTGTAATGTTAATGAAGGAATTTTTAAAACGGTCCTTATTACGCTTGGGGACGGAAAATTTCCTAATGTTTTTTAAAGGTAAGTTTCTGTTCGTATTAAAAGGTAAAAGATTATGCAATTTGTCCTCTGTATTACGGGAGACCTTTAATAAAAGATCATCGCAGAAATTGTCCCGATAGGCCAACAGTCTTTCCAAGCTCGATAATTCCAATGCAACATCGTAGGGTGTATCATAGCCATGAATAATCCTCATTGCTCTTTTTTGAATGCGTTCCAATGATGATTTTAATGTAAGTCAGTCACAAGCATGCATAAGTCTGGACGGGACGAATACACGTAACATAGAATTCCACTAATTCTTTAGTTTGAACTTTTGCACGTTCAACTGGGATAAAAAATAAAGACGCTTTGATGCCTTTTTGCAAATTTTTTCAACGTGTTTGTCCCACTTAAGGTTGTTTTGAATGGTCAAACCCAGAAGTTGAAAAGAATACACAATTTCAATAGTGGTGCCATTTATATAGGTAAATCGTCAAATGTGGAGGGAGCTTGTTTAAAGGATATTCACATTTGTTTGCATTTTATTGGTTGGATTTGAAATTTATTTTGAATTGACCAATTTGATATTTCGTCCACAATAACCTGGGCGGTGATTTGCCATTGATTATCCACAATTTCGAAGGATGTTGTATCATCGACGAAGATTGCATTTCCGTCTGATGATTCAAGTTTTAGATCATTAATCATCACTAAGAATAACCATGGTCCTAATGTGGAGCCTTGAGGAACGCCCGCTGATACATCGTCCCAACTTGAGAATATATCATTCTCCAATTTAACTCTTTGCTTGCGGTCACTTAAAAAATCGTGAATCCAAATTAAAATATAGGGATTGATTCCATAGCTTTCCAATTTACACATCAGCAAATTGTGGTCTATTAGATCGAACGCTTTTTTGTAATCCATCAATATTACTCTCACTTCTGAACCCGTAGCGTCAGTAGCTTCAAGCCAATAGTGGATCAGGTATATTAGGGCATGTTTAGTGGATGAAAAGGGAACACAACCGTATTGGTCTGGTCTTATATGCTTCAAAACGGCAGCGATTTTCGATAAAGTAGGCGCAAGAGAAATCGGCCGTAGATCTTTATTAAATTCTTCGATGGTCTGATTTTTTGGTAAAGGGATGACATTGGCCTTTTTCCATATAGTAGGTAGAACTTGTTTTTGGAAAGACGAATTAATTAGATAACATACTGGTTCAGCAAGAAGATGGCTAAAGGTTTTTAGAAACCAGTTGAGAATCTCATCTGGACCGGGTGCTTTAGATTCTTTGATTGTTCTTAGTTTTCTCTCAACAGATTCATTGGAAACTTTAGGAATCCGATGGTTCGTCACTTCAATTTTACTACTAGGGGATAGTTTCGGGTAACTTTGCAAGGGTTTCAGAAAAGCCGAATTTATATCATTGGCCAGTTGAATTTTAGAATTGGTAGACGGCGATTCCATTTCCAGTAGTTTATTTACGATGCCGGTATTTGGTTTTGACATACAACAGATCTTTTTGCAGGTCGACCACCATTTCTTCGGATCTACGTGTTTTAGATGTTCAATCTCGCATTTGTAAAATTTCGATTTGATAATTTTTCTCTCACGGTTGACTTTATTACGATAAAATTTGAAAACCAAGATGTTGTTTTCTTTCAAGGCTTTTTGACGATGGTGAATTAAGCCCTTAAGATATGGGGTCATCCAAGGGGTGTCATTTTTATGCAATTTAACAAGTTTTGAGGGCATCATTGAATTTAAACCAATTATTAGTGAGTCGTTAAAATAATTTAACTGTTCTTCGATGGTAGGCGAAGAGTTAAGTACGGACCAATCCAAATTGCTTAAAAATCTTCCTAAGGCTTCAAATGAGCTCTTGTTCCTTTTGCGCACTGGTATTAATTTCTTTGTATTGGACAAACTTGGCAGTAAGTTTGGAAAAATAGTAATGGTAAAATGGTCTGATAAGCCGAAGGGTGGTTTTTTCTCAGGGTTTTGGTAAAATTTAGCTAAATTAGTCAGAATCAAGTCCAAAGTACGTTCACCTCTAGTAGGAAATTTAACCAGTTGTTTCAGACGGAATTGATTTGTAATTTGGTTAATGTTAAGGCGGTTAAAATCACCAGCTATTATAATCGCAGCATGGGGCATAGTGCTTTCTATTTTCGAAAGAGTGTCAATTATGTGGTTAATTAATACGTTGTCGTCAGCAGTAGGTGGATGGTAAACTGTTGCAACAATAAGATGAGAAAAACCTCGAGGCAGTCGGCTAGGTCTTAGTTTACACCACAATTTTTCCACATCCTCTACGTCGTATTCGGTTAGAATAGTGACAGGAGTAGACGCTCTAACATACATATATACAAACCCATAGATATCTTATATATACTAGATAGCGCATCTCTTTTAGTAAAATTGAAGCCAACAATATTCCAGCGGTTACCCCCATTTGAATAGATGGTGGCCATGTTGGTCGTTCCCACTCGCTAATAAACGCTTAAAAACAACAATAATTTTCATCATTTGAATATTTTAAAAACGAATTTGGAGTAGGGTTAACTTAATGTTTAAGTTCCCTGTTTAAGAAATAGAAAACATACGAATCTTCTAATTTCATTGGAACGACCTGAGACTGCAATCACGGCTTCAATTTTTGAATTTCAGAATAATTAGATGCACTATCTAGTGTATATAAGATATCTATGTATAAACCCCACCATGTTGGGCACGAGTTCTGTCTTTCCTTACGATTGAGTAATGGTCTAAAAATATAACGTTGTTATCCAATGTATCTTTTGCAAGGAGAACTTTCACGTTAATTCGAGCGAAGGCCCTTCGTCGCTACTAACTTCCCGACGACTAGTGCCTTCGCTCGAAACGTCGAAGTTCTCCTTGTATTTTCCAGGTAGTTGCATCCCTATATCTACACAGACCGTTCAAGATTATGAGAATTGCTATCTATACTGACGAATATGTGCGAGTATACTCGCTCCTCAGTCGCAACATAGTTAATAGAATAGATGGCTTGGAAACTCATTAGAATAACAAGATAACTCATTATCAATGTTAGTCAACGTTTATTCATAAATCTGGTCCTTCACCGTCACGTGTGTATTGTATTTTTGCCAAATCCACCAATAGCAATTTCCAATTTACCCTATTGTTCGAGTCACAAATAGGTAACTTTCCTAAAACATTGTTATTGGTTATTTGGGCAAAAATACAATACGCACGTGACGGTGAAGGACCAGATTTATGAATAAACGTTGAGTAACATAGATAATGGGTTATTTTGTTCATCTAATGAATTTACAAACCATCTATTCTATTTAATTAACTATGGTGGCAAGTCGACTGTATATGTCGAGCAAGGTATGTATTGTGCACTCCCTTTCCTACCGAGGCGTGGGTTTATGCATCATGCAAGTATTATATCCAATTTTGATTGCAAACCCGAATAATGTATTGGGAAGAGTTTAGGGGAAACCTTTTGTTCATTTCCGGCAGTTTGTTATAGCGCCACACAACGAAGCAGTTATTCATTTTCAACTCACCTCGACATTTCGATACTGTGATGAGACCAAGGGTTGAGAGAAAGTTAAGTTTCTGCAAATACACAAACTGTGTAAGTTACATGTTCTAAGAAACACAAAATGCTACACGGAAGAGACGAAAAGAAAGCGTATCGGTTTTGCCAAATATCCAGGATCCAGGAGCATAAAAAATGCTATGTTTGACTATATAGTACTGTATAAGTAGTATCCCGTTCGTAGCGTGCCCAAGTTGTTGAAAATCGTTCTTAGTTATTTAATTATCCGCATTGTAGTTCCTGAAAAAATACCGACAATACCGATATATCAATAGTTTTTCGCGATTGTATTTTGCTTAGTTTTATGCAAAATTTGCTTCATTTTATGCAAAATTTTCTGTTTTCAAATGACGCCAAATAGCCGAGATACATAGCCGCGATGTTCGCTTTGGGAATTGAAAATGCATATATTTGCATTGATTATCCGCACTCAGGTCTGTCAGAATGAATCGTGAGTTATATTTTTGGCTGGGAAATTTGTTTAAAAACATGGTAGTAGCCTACCAATGTGAAAATACTGTGCCGAGTGGTTATATTACTACCTTAAAAAATAAGCAGAAACTCGACGTTTCGAGCGAAGGCCCTTCGTCAAGAGTTAGTAGCAGGGACCGCAAACAACATGAAATGCGCCTCATATCCAAACTTGGCACTGTTCACCCTTCTGGTATTTTTTAATTCCATCTGTCCGTGCCTTTCTATAGCAGACATGGACAGCATTTATCTATTTATTACTTTTACCTTATTCCCACTTGTGTTTTGTTTTGCTTTGTTTTGTTTTGTTTTGTTTTGTTTTGTTTTGTTTTGTTTTGTTTTGTTTTTATTATTTTTGGTAGTAATTGTCTTAGCTTCCTGTATATTTTTATATATTTTTATTATATTATATTCTGTAATGCGATTTACATATTTTGTTTACACTTTGTTATGATTAAATCGATCTAATTGGTTTATTTTTTGTCACGTGATGCTTTCATACTCTTAGTATAAAAGCCCGTGCATTTTCCCGATCCCTGCTACTAACTCTTGACGAAGGGCCTTCGCTCGAAACGTCGAGTTTCTGCTTATTTTTTAAGGTAGTAATATAACCATTAACCACTCAGCACAGCAAACCCGAATACCTATATATACATGAACTTACGGTTACAGCTTAACAGCTGGCCTCTGTAGCTCAGTTGGTTAGAGCGCTGCACCGGAATCGCAGGGCCGTAGGTTCAATTCCTACCAGAGGACCTTGTGCTGCATTTTTCTCTGTCGTTCCTGGTTAGGTCTTAAAATGTATATATTCTCACTTGGATTACCAACCCTAACATCCTAATATTAATTCCACCAAGTGAAGTGCAAAAATCTAAATCATTCAAGTCCACCTTATCATACCCGCACACCCGATTACCTATATATACATGAACTTACGGTTACAGCTTAACAGCTGGCCTCTGTAGCTCAGTTGGTTAGAGCGCTGCACCGGAATCGCAGGGCCGTAGGTTCAATTCCTACCAGAGGACCTTGTGCTGCATTTTTTCGTTGTCGTTCCTGGTTAGGTCTTAAAATGTATATATTCTCACTTGGATTACAAACCCTAATATCCTAATTTACAGTACACTGGACCACCAGGTTTGAGATATCCTAGTCAGGCATGCAAGACAACTCTTTTACAGCATACAGTTGAATACTACTTATAGACTAGACCTTATTTTTAAACATCGTCTACAAAAAGTACCTCAGCATTCTGTTGTTCAACACGTTTACTTGTTAGTTTTGCAATTGAAACTTTCGCTCTTCTTGCTACAGGTCTACGTAGGAATTTCGACTGATTTTCAATTGGAACTGTCTGCATTCCAGTCGTTACCATATCGGGCTAAAATACAATACGCTATATGTAAGTTTAGTGCAATACTGGATTTGTGACAACTCCGTTGATTTATTTACAATATTTAGCTTCCTGTATATTTTTATATATTTTTATTACACTGGCCTGTAAGGCCAAGTGTTTTAAATCCCCCTTTTCTGTTTTTTTCGTAGTCGAGAGATCGAGTTTGCGTTAGCTCATCGCAGGCTCAGGGTGCAACGATTAAGCCAAAATGCCATCGATTCCCTCGGTTCCATGATTTAGATAGTATAGTAATAAGCTCGTTTGTTATATAGCTAGCGTGAACACCAAACGTGATTGGCTGATTTGTGGTCACGTGACTTCAGATAAATGCAATGTTTCCCGCCGGGCAACAAGTGAAAAATTGTTGCCCGCCCCGACCGGCCACGTACATAAATAAACAAAATGGAGGCAGAACTCAGATAATTAGAAACTACGATTTTCCAAGTTTGTGTTCAAATAAAGAATATAAAAGAGAAGAAAAATACACAACAGGCAACAGGATATGCTGCTGAAACCGTTTAAGTAGGTTCTTTTAATTTTAAACTCGTTTACACTATAGAGTTTTTGTCACGAAATACAATTGTTGTATGAATGTTGTTGCTGCATTTTTCGCAGTCGTTCCTGGTTAGGTCTTAAAATGTATGTATTCTCACTTGGATTACAAACCCTAACATGAAAACAACGCGCTGTTAGGAAAAACCGGAAATCGATTCTGTAGGTCGGCATGATTTGCACGTGCATCGATCTCGATTACGTCTCCCGAAAAGGTCTTTTATTTTTTTAAAAAGTCCATAAAATTTGCTTGCGGTTTACGATTTGTATTCCTGCCTTTTGCACCATAGCACGTATCTCGTTATTTTCAGGCCAGTGTGAACGCCGGAGCAGGCGCCTTGTTATATTATTTTCTGTAATGCGATTTACATATTTTGTTTACACTTTGTTATGATTAAATCCATCTAATTGGTTTATTTTTTGTCACGTGATGCTTTCATACTCTTAGTATAAAAGCCCGTGCATTTTCCCGATCCCTGCTACTAACTCTTGACGAAGGGCCTTCGCTCGAAACGTCGAGTTTCTGCTTATTTTTTAAGGTAGTAATATAACCACTCAGCACAGCAAACCCGATTACCTATATATGCATGAACTTACGGTTACAGCTTAAGAGGGAATCTCCACTATCACCGAGCAACTGGTGGCACATGATGAAAAATGAAATGTTTTCTTATTTTGTCCAGTGATACACTAATGTATACTTAGAAACGTGATGGGGTTTGTTTCCTGAAATATTACTTTAAACGCCGAAAAATTATCAAAACCTGACATGTACCCAAGATTCGTGAAATTAGCTAAAAACATAGTGAGTCACAGCCTCTCGAAAACTTCGTTTTGCTCAGTTCGCGTCTTCAGGAAACCTCACTTTCGGTTTTTAAACGTGTATATGAGATGTTTATAAACAACGATAGTCTATTTTGCAATCTTTTAAATGATGTTTCAAAGTCAAGGCAAGCGTGTAAAAATCGCCTTATTTTGCGATCCAAAAAATTCTAAATTGTTACACTTTTTGAAAATTAATTTTCCGTATCCGGGAAAACTCCAATTTCCTTGAAATTTAGGGAATTTAAAGAGAAACTGTTGCTCTAAAAGCTGATGTAAAAATTATTTTGGGGCTTTTTGTTACCGCGGAATTATACTGACTATAATATCGGGGAAATCACAAGAAAAACCTTAAGTTAAAAAATTTTAAGTTTGGTACATTTTTTGAAAATCAATTTTCCCTTTCCGGTAAAACTCCGATTTCCTTCAAATTTAGACAAATGTATGAGCAAATGTTGCTCTCAAATCAGATGTAAAAAATATTATGGGGTGTTTTGTTATCACGAAATTATAATGTCTATAATATACAGCCGATTATGTAGACAGACACTTATAGACAGGCAGTACGTCTAGACACAGCCTGCTCAGATAGACTGTCGAAACGTGAGGATTTATACTTGTTTTCTCTTGTTATTTGGTTTTGACAGATAAATTATAAATTATTTTAAATTATTGTGCTTGTTTATCGGGATTTTAGAGAAATAAATAGTCAATATGAACATCATGTTGCAAAAGCTCCGTGCGCGTGACTTGACACATAATAATTAATAGACAAAAGATCAGTTATTGATAGCATGCTTTATAAATCCACTACTCAAAGTCTCAATAGCTCGTAAAATCAATCCGTATTATCTACTTTTTTCAAACTGGAATATATGTGCTTAGTTTTCTCTGAAGTAGTCGCATAAATCATTGAGATCAGGGCTAGATTTTATTAAACTCGCGATGTGACTACAATGACAATGTCAATGTAATTAGTGACGTGTTTGACCGTTTGTATAAATAAACTTCCGAATACACAGAAATTATAAAGTAACATCAAACCTGATGTATAGAACATACGCTGAATTTACTTTGTTATATGCACAATAACTGCATGTACGCGACTTGCTCTTTTAAGAAACCAATTTGCTAATAATCATTCTTTTTTCAAAATCATGCGGACCTTTATTTATCATTTAAATAATATACCCTTAAGATACTGACAATTGATTAATTTTAATAAGCAGCTACGTACATTATCCATGACAAACTGCAAAAAATGAATATATTACCCATACTTTTCTGCAACTTATCCAACATATCAGACTTGTAAACACGATGTCATACCCTATAGGGAGTATCGTTAAGTTGAAGTTCTGAGCAATTTCAGAACTCTGTATGTCGCCGCCATGCCATTAAGTATAGGTTATTTTGAGGCAACGAGGGGATATGTGATTTATTCACCGAGGCGCGCAGCGCCGAGGTGAATAAACACATATCCCCGAGGTGCCTCAAAATAACGTACTTATTTTTCACATTGCGAGGTTGCGTTCATGAGACAGAATAGAAATGCCATATTGCCTTCGTTATGTTGCCATAATAGAATAGAAATGCCATATTGCCTTATCTTAATGCCATATTGCCTTCGTTATGTTGTTTTTTTTTCTCTTTTTTGTGCTGCAAAGACATTGCAGGTGAGTATTAGAGGGGATTATTAATTGCAGGTGAATATTAGAGGGGATTATTAACGGAAATTGATTAGAGGGGAATATTGAATATATTCCCCGATAAGAACAAAGGAAACCGAGCAGGGTGAAAAATAAGTTGGGGCCATGGTCCCGCTTCCCCAGGTCCTAGAATTTAATAAAGTGTGACGTGCGTATTTTGAGCAATGTAAATTAGTCGCACTTCATGATATAACAAAATTGCTCGTTACAAATTGTATGAAATTCCATGTCTTAAACAAAAAACCAAATGTTGTTGAATGCTATTAATCGTCTTCTTTCACTACATAACTTCAGGCGCATTCCTAATTTCGTTTAAAAAATATTTAAAGTTATCTAACTTTTGTTTAGGGCTGAAACACGTATTTCAATTGCTCGATCAAAATACGTTACACTTCATTGAATCCCGGGTAAGCGGGACCATATAAACTGCCTCTTATAATCAAATTTCTCACGAGAGCGAAACGCAGTGCCGTAGCTAGCTCGATAATTGGGGGGGGCAGACATTCATATATTCGTGTTCTGCGTTATTAATTTCTTTTGAAATCGATTGTTTTTATGGTCTGTGAACACAAATATATGAATATCTGCCCCCCCTCCAATTATCGAGCTAGCTACGGCACTGGCGAAACGCAAATTTTGTATCATCGCCTCTGATCATCGCCCATGTTTGTATATTTTAAATTCCGATGTATATTAAAATACGTATACTTTCAAACATCAAACCTCGCATCAGACTTATAGTTCTTCAGCGAAACTTTCAGTATACATATAGATTATAGCCGTAGGCGAAATTTTTCAGTTTTGAGAGCAAAACTAATTGTTTTGCCGCTTTTGGGAGCTTTCAAAATGGTTGTAAACTTTTGAAATGGATAAAAATTTACTATTTTCGACCCTCGACCTCGACGTACGACCCTCGTTATAAGCGTCAATTGCATTTAGGTAATGAGTTCCACAGTTTAGCTCCATCACAACAGAAGCTTTTCTTAAGGTCGAGAAATAAGCGAGACTTAAAAAAAGCTTTTAAATGTTTTCCACGTCATTTTAAAAGTTCTTTCAGATAAGGGAATCTAATTTCTATATTCATGCTATTTCCGATCATATCCCTCAACAGGGCCGTTCCTAGACGCGATAATGGGGGGGGGGGTATATTCATATATTCATGCTCGATACCGTAAAAACAATCGCTTTCAAAAGAAATCCGTCGCGCAGAAGACGAATATATGAACATACAGGGTCTTAGCTAGAGGGCCGTGTTGGCCGTGTTATCGCGGCCAAAAATGGAAAAACACGGCTAGATAAAATGAACGCGGCTTCATTATTTATATAAGGCCGTGTACAGTAGGTTCATTACAACAGACAGAATTTCTTTCTATTTACGTCATAAGAAAGTTTGGAAAATCTATTGTTGTTGTTGAAATTGGCAAAAGTGCCCCCAAGAGTTGTTAGAGTACCCCCAAGAGTTGCTGAAATAACTTCAGTGCGCAATATGAGTATATACAGGGTGTCCCAAAAAAAACGAAAACTATTGAAATCACCAATAACAATTTGATTGTTAGAATTTGAATGCCTTAGCGCTCTGTTGGTTCCCACGAGTGCATAAATGATTGACATAAGTAAATTTTATGCATAAAGAAACTGTTTAAGAAGCTGTTTTTAATTCCCAGGAGCAGAAAATCGCGCACTTTGCCAGGAGATATTCCTAACTAAATTCTAATACATGCGCCTTGTCAATATTTTACGCATCATTACGTCCAGCTGTTTGGTAGGGCATTCAAATTTAACAATAAGTGATTTCAATAGTTTTCGTTTTTTTTGGGACACCCTGTATACTCGCCTTGTATTTGGTTGCAAAGCATAGAACCACAGGCATTGTCCGTTGTTGTAGAACCGTGAATTTGGCTATTCAAGGTAATTGACATGTGCACACCCTGGTCATTTAGAAACACGCCCAAGATCTAAAATCCTAGCTAAGACCCTGTGAACATACACCCCCAATTATCACGCTAGGAACGGCCCTGTCCCTTTAATTAAACGACTGAACTTGCCCGGCTTCAATGAAAATAAGGCCGAAGTTTGACGCTTAAACTGAACTGCTTAGAGCACAACATGCTCAAATATAAGTAATTGACTGTTTATAGTAAGTATATATAGCCTTGAATCTAGCGAGTGTACAAGTGTTTCTAGTTTATTTTAATTGGCGCGCATGGATCGATCAATTGAAACAAGAATTTGAAGCAGAAATCTTAGTCTTGGAGAGTTTAACAGCGTATTTTTATCTAGAAATAGGCAAACTAGTTTAAAATGATCTACGTCTTATCTTTCCTATCAATAACAAGAGAAAACAAGCAAGAATGATTAAAGCAAAGTGCCTAATTGTCTGAGGATTTTTAAGTTGTTTTTTTGATTTTCTCGATATTATAGTCAGTATAATTCCGCGGTAACAAAAAGCCCCAAAATAATGTTTACATCAGGTTTTAGAGCAACAGTTTCTCTTCAAATTCCCTAAATTTCAAGAAAATTGGAGTTTTCCCGGATACGGAAAATTAATTTTCAAAAAGTGTAACAATTTAGAATTTTCTGGATCGGAAAAAAAGACGATTTTTACACGCTTGTCTTGACATTGAAAAATCATTTCAAAAATTAAAAATTGGACCCACGGTCTTTATAAACATCTTATAAACACGTTTAAAAACGAAAGGTGAGGTTTCATCACACGCCAATTGAGAAAAACGAAATTTTCGAGGGGCCGTAGCTCACAATTTTTTTTGCTAATTTCGCGAATCTCGGGTATGTGTGAGGTTTTGATAATTTTCGGCGTTTAAAATAATATTTCAGAAAACAAACCCCACCACGTTTCTGAGTACACATTAGAGTATTACTGGAAAAAAAAGAAGATTTTTATTTTTCCTCATGTGCCACGTATTCTCGATTTTGCTCGGTTTTAGTGGACATTGTCTCTTAACAGCTGGCCTCTGTAGCTCATTTGGTTAGAGCGCTGCACCGGAATCGCAGGGCCGTAGGTTCAATTCCTACCAGAGGACCTTGTGCTGCATTTTTCGCTGTCGTTGCTGGTTAGGTCTTAAAATGTATATATTCTCACTTGGATTACAAACCCTAACATCCTAATATTAACTCCACCAAGTGAAGTGCAAAAATCTAAATCATTCAAGTCCACCTTATCACAACCCGCACACCCGATTACCTATATATACATGAACTTACGGTTACAGCTTAACAACTGGCCTCTGTAGCTCAGTTGGTTAGAGCGCTGCACCGGAATCGCAGGGCCGTAGGTTCAATTCCTACCAGAGGACTTTGTGCTGCATTTTTTCGTTGTCGTTCCTGGTTAGGTCTTAAAATGTATATATTCTCACTTGGATTACAAACCCTAACATCCTAATATACAGTACACTGGACCACCAGGTTTGAGATATCCTAGTCAGGCATGCAAGACAATTCTTTTACGGCATACAGTTGAATACTACTTATAGACTAGAACATTTTTAAACATCGTCTACAAAAAGTACCTCAGCATTCTGTTGTTCAACACGTTTACTGGTTAGTTTTGCAATTGAAACTTTCGCTCTTCTTGCTACAGGTCTACGTAGGAATTTCGACTGATTTTCAATTGGAACTGTCTGCATTCCAGTCGTTACCATATCGGGCTTTCTCGGAGCTTCACGATCGTCCTTCAGGTGAACGATGTTATTTTGTGTGATGTTTGGAATGAATTTCGTCGTGGGTGGAGGTGAACTGCTGCTCGCATGCTGTTAAATAAAAATATTTTTATTAAGGAGGCTCCCTACAGTTTCTATAACGAACCATTGTTTTGAAGTAAAAGTCATTTGAAAGGATATATAAGCTGCGAGAATTCCATTTTTGCGTGAGTCTTTGATTCCTTGTATATCAAAGAGTAATTCTAACACAAACTCATGGCGTTACTATGGAAACATGACGGCAACATGTATCTAGCCTATTTTAGCAAAACAGCTACAACAGCGGAAAAATACGGTTTTAATATCATTATTATATCATAATATTCTGAATTTTTTAAGAAAGTTTTTTAAAAATCGCAAGTGTAGTTTAAAGCTTTCGATTCGGCACCTCACGATAAACTTATTTTTAAACTCTCCCAATTTGGTATTACTGGGCCGCTCTTAGACTGGTTTTCTGATTATCCCCGAGCCGGCGGCGCGAAGCGCCGTGCGAGGGTACTAATTCCCCCCGGCTATTTATACCCGGGGAAGGGAAGCATTAGCGAAGTCTAAAGTTCATCAAATATCGCGGGCGTGGGTCACTGTGCGTGTTTCGGTGGGTGGTCATCCTCACTGATCTCATAATATAGCGGACTGTAATGAATAGCCAACACTGATTGGTCCAATTTAAAATTGGCATTATAACGGCTGCATGACGATTGACGACAGCGAAATTGATTTGATGATTTCTTGCAAATATATTTCATTTTTGCAAGATTTTGTAAATTGCAAAGGATTTTTGATGAAATAAAGGCAAGAGGATTGCTAAAAGAAGGAAGTAAAGGTGCCGACGTTAACGAAGGTAAGTTTGTTTTAAATATTGATGCATTGTTTGCTTTTAACATACTGTAATCTCGACTGTAATTACTTTAAAAGCCGATCGTTGCGTATATAAAATATGAAACAAGACAGCGTATTATTTCAGTGTTTCATTCTTGATTACACTTTTTATTATACTAAGCAAAGTAAGGTTATTTACATGGGAGAATTTGGAATACTGAATTTTATTTCGAACTCAAAGTTTATCGATAAAGGCGGTTTAGTTCTATATTAAAAGAACACTTTCAAACGTTTTGCGAAGCGTTTGTGGTTGAATTTTACCTTAAATTGAAGCTTATATTACGTATAATAACATACCTACTGTAATTAATTTAAAAGCCGATCGTTGTGTATAAATATGAAACAAGACAGCGTATTATTTCAGTGTTTCTTTATTGATTACACTTTTTATTATACTAAGCAAAGTTATTTGCATAGGAGAATTTGGAATCATTTTATTTCGAACTCAAAGTTTATCGATAAAGGCAGTTTAGTTCTATAGTAAAAGAACATTTTAAAACGTTTTGCGAAGCGTTTGTGGTTGAATTTTACTTTAAATTCATGCTTATATTACGTATAATAACATACCTAACATGTATATGTTTAGGAAATTGATAATTTTGTAATTAAAAGTGTTATTTCTGGGGGATTTTTCATTTGTAAAAATATTCTTAAAAAAATATCGTGTTACCATGACAACTACTTAAAATACTTCGCGTTCGGAAAATAAAATGGTTTTGTCAGCAAGGCGAGGGTTTCTGCATGCATGTATTTTCTAGTCTGTCTGGACGTAAACAGCGCGTGGTAGTGGACGGTTTCTCGTCAAGTTACCTAGATGTAACATCTGGTGTTCCTCAAGGCAGTATTATTGGCCCATTGCTTTTCTTGATCTACGTTAACGACCTTCCTGACGCAGCAAAACACAGCAAAGTACCAATGCTTGCCGACGACAGTAAATGCTATAAAATCATAAACAATCCACACGACTCTAATCTCCTCCAATCAGATCCTCAAGCCCTGTGTCTTTGGTCTTCTACGTCGAAGTTAAAGTTCAACTTGAAGAAATGTTCTGGAATAAGATTTTCACGGAAACGTTGTATTGAGTCTCCCGATTACTTTTTATGCTCCAGACAGATCCCTTTTAAATCAACTCAAAAGGATCTTGGTATACTTATTACGAATAATCTAAAATGGTCGCCTCATATTTCTAACATTGTTTTCAAAGCAAACCGCATGCTTGGATTTCTACGACGTAACTGCGCATATTTAACTGATATAAATTGTCGACGCTCTCTCTATTTGACACTTACTCGTACACACCTGTGTTATGGCAGTGAAATTTGGGCACCCCAAACAACATCTAGGGACCTTCTTTGTCTAGAAAGTGTCCAAAGACGAGCGACCTAGTATATCCTTCAAGACTTCACCTCATCTTACACCAACAGTTTAAAGAAACTTAATCTACTGCCTATATCATACTGGTTCGAAATAAAAGATATTACGTTTTTTATAAATGTAAAGCTGGTTATTATGACGATAAAAGTACCTAAAAATGCAATTTTCAGTTTGCGATTTTTTTCCGGGAAATGCTTGGAAAATTTTCTTCTTACCTACGGTGGGTCGGTCGCGCTTGCATTTCCTGGACAACAACGATTGAAAACATACAAGTTTAATATTTTATACAGTTGGATGAAATATTTTTTTCTGATACAAAAAACTGAATGGGCAGCATATTCAGACGGGTAAAATTTTTAAAACTTTAAGAAAAACAACACCGTAATAGTACAATCAAATAGAGAATTAATAAAGCAAAATATATTTATAAAGGTTGATTTATAACTTTTCACCCAATATTTAATTTCATCTAGCACTCGAACATCAATCATGCAACTTTTTATATTTTACGTTATAGTCATCGATACAGACTATTTAAGATACAACAATTTGAAATCAAATATATACCTGTGTATTGAGGGCAGAATGTCTAGACATGGCGAGCAATTGTGGTCTATGTGAGCCTGGGTTTCCAGCGTTATTTGACAATGTCAATCCAGAGTTTGGTGAAAGATCAGAGTCTGATCTTGCTAATTGCAGTTGCTAGAAATAAAAAAAAACGCGGATAATTGACTTTTCGTTTGCGCTCCCCCTATATACCTGACTCGTCCCCAGTCGTCTCTGTGAGCACGAGCGAATTGGAAAGCGCGCCAAGGGGTGTTTTCGCGCATGTCACAGAGACGACTGCGGACAAGTCGATCAGCCGCATAAATGCAGTTGTATATGTAAATTGAAACGCGCGTGCATGTATAAGTTATTATCATGCGTGAGTATAAAGTGGCATATAATTATTATATGTACGATCAGACAGATACATGTATAGTAAGCTTATATATTCGTTTAAATAAAGTTTGACAACGTATTATAACAGGCAAGGGTAGGATGCAAATAGATTTTTGGTCAAAAGAGTGAGTAATGCGGTTTTCAATTTTTCGCTTCATCCATAGTTTGGTTCCTAATGTCAAAATGATATTTGACATGCAGTCAAGCGAGGGGAATTTCACTCCAACAAAGCGTACGGGATTTTCGGATTTTTAAAAATCCGCGGATTTTTTAGCGGATTTTTAGCGGATTTTTGAAGAGAAAATCTGTTGGATTTTCCGGATTTATTCGGATTTTTTGACGAAGTGTACGGGATTTTTGGAGTGAAATGCCCCTCGCAGTCAAGCATAACAAGTTCATTAATTTTCAGTAGAATGTATACTATTGTTTTTCTGTTTGGTCTAATTCCTTGAAAAAGAATATATTCCAACTCCAAAAATTGATCATGTTACACCTGTTCTTCAACAGCTACGTCGGCATCCATGCAGTGGAATACATGTACACTAAATTTCAGAGATGTTATGATGACTTTAAAATGCACGAATTAGGATTGGCTCCATCGTACTTGTGTGATAAAACTTGAAACGAGATCGGAGATTCATAGCTTCAACACAAGAACAATTTAACTATAGAATTACACTACTGCAGCAACCTGAATTTTATACCGAACAGCTATAGTTCCCGAACATTATTTCAACATAATCCAAGAATTAAAGGTGAATGTAAAGTCCGTTCTAAGCATACGTTCTGCGCAGGCCTACATTTCAATGGTCGGGACCCGACCATTGGAATGTTGTTAATATTTCGGAACTTCCGAACTTTCTTGAATTGAATCTCTAGTCTGTGTTAATTTACAAGCATAGGGAACCAGAAGAGTGTTAAAAATTCAGTATAATATATATATATATAATTTGTGTCCATTCAGTCGGTTCGGTCCAGAAGGCGGAATGACTTGAGACCGGTCTGAGTTATTTTCGTCCCGGTCTCATGTAAACATCTATTATAGATCATACTATGACCGAAACGAGATGGTCCCGGTTTGACTTCGTTCCGGTCTCATGTAAACGGGGCCTTAGTAAGGGATTTTGAACGACGATCATAATAGAATTTCTGTTTCTGCTGCTTGAGATTCAATTTTTTCTTTACTTCAACAGGATCTAGAAGACGGGGCTTCAACTGCGATATCGTTTGAGGAATTCTTGAACGCAAACGCCTATTCATCTGTAACTGCGCTGGACTTCCCACATCATCGATAGGAGTGTTTCGATATTCCAATAAACTTAAATATGGATCTCGTTGATCTTTCTTCGATTTAACTAAAAGATCTTTGATAGTTTGTACAGTCCTTTCTTCTAAACCATTGGCTTGTGGGTTGAAAGGACTAACTGTCGTATGCTTGAATTCCCAGCATTCTGCGAATGCTTGAAATTCTCAAGATGAGTATTGTGGCCCAATATCACTTATGACTTCTGCAGGAATACCATGTCGGGAGAATATCGACTTGGTGTACGTGATAACCGTTGAACTCTTTGTGTCTGGTAACTTAACAACTTCAAAGTATCTGGAAAGATAGTCAACAATAAGTAGATAGTCCGAGTTGTCCAAACTAAATAAATCTGTTGCCACCACTTCCCAAGGTATGGTTGGTACTCTGAAAGGTATCATAGGCTCTTTGGTATTCTCCTTTCTGTGCTCAAGACATACGGTGCACTTCGATACCATTTCAGGTATCTGCTTGCTCATCAAAGGCCAATAAAGAGCATCCCGAGCTCTTCGCTTCGATCTCCATGTGACCATGATGTATTCTTTGTAGCATTTCCTTTCTCATTGCTAATGGTACGACAATACGGTCGCCTTTCAAGATGATTCCATCTATCACCGACAATTCATCGCGAATGTTCCAATAGGGTAGGACTGACAACGGTACGCTCTCTCTCTCTCTCTCTCTCTCTGATCTGGCCATCCGTTCTGAATGATATTCAATAATGTTCTTAGTTCTTCGTCGCTCTTTGTTGCTTCTCTAATTTCTTGTAATTTGAATTCTGAAGCTGGTAGGGTTGAACTTACGAGATGTACGTGCAGATTAATTTCTTTTCCCATTTCCTCGTCAGTTTCGGGTAATGGAGCTCTTGACAACATATCTGGCAGTGCCATTTCTTTAGCTGATTTGTAGACGATAGTTTAGTTGTACTTCTGTATTCTCAGGAGTAATCTCTGCAAACGAGGAGGAGCTAATGCCAGCGATTTCTTTGCTATCATCTCCAGAGGTTTATGATCTGACTCGACAATAACTTCCTTTCCATACACATATTGATGAAAACGATCAAGACTGAATTGCACAGCCAGAAGTTCTTTTTCTATTTGGGCGTACCTTGATTCGGTTTCTGTCAACGACCTTGACGCGTACGCCACTGGGTAGCCATCTTGCAACAAAACTGCCCTCAAACCTGTAGGTGACGCATCACAGCTAATTGTGACAGGCTTCGATACATCAAAAGACTTTAACACTGGACCTTCATCTTTGGTGAGAGTGTCCTTAATATCCTGAAATGCTTTCTGTTGCTCGAAAGACCACTGGAATTCGATCTCTTTCTTCAACAACGATCTGATTGGTTTGGTAAGTGTTGCTAAATTTGGAATGAATTTTCCTAAATAGTTCCTAGTTCCAAGCAGTCTCTCCACACCTTTCCTGTCTGTTGGTGCTTCCATTTCATTAATAGCTTTAACTTTCGCTTCATCAGGTTTAACGCCATTTTCTGTCAGTTTGTGTCCGATATATGTGATTTCTCTGGATTTGAATTCACATTTCTCTTTGTTTAAGGTTAGATTGAACTTCTCACATCTTTCTAAGACTGATTCGAGGCGTCTATAATGGTCTTCTTCTGTCGTTCCGTGAATAAGGATGTCGTCAATATCCGTTTCAACACCTTCGAGGTCGTCGAAATGTTGATGCATCCTTTTCTGAAAAACTTCTTGTGCTGAGGTGATACCAAATGGAGTGCAAGTGTAGCAATATCTGCCAAATGGAGTGTTGAAAGTGGTAAGGAGTTGACTTTCCTCGTCCAAAGGTATTTGCCAGTATCCAGGATTGGCGTCTAGCTTGGAGAACCACCTGGCATTGGCCATACGTGTAGTGATATCTTCAATTGTCGGTAATTGAAAATGTTCACGCTTGATTGCTTTGTTTAGATGTTTTGGGTCTAAACAAATGCGAAGTTTTCCGTTAGGTTTCTCCACCACAACCATAGAACTGACCCAATCAGTTGGCTCTTCCACTTAACGAATTACGTTTTTCCTTTCCATATCACCAAGTTACTCTTTCACTCTACTGCGAAGAACAGCTGGAATAGTTCTAGAAGGATTAATGACCGGTGTCGCTGTTGGATCAACTTCGATGTGGTATTCTCTCTCTAAACGACCCAAACCAGTGAAGATTTTCTGATGTTTCTTGATTACTTCTTCTTTGAGATGTGTTGGTGGTTTCTTGGCCGTTGAGTCTACTCTGGTATTTCCCACGATTTTTATCAACCCGAGTTCCTGAGCTGCTCTGAGTCCCAAAAGACCTGGTTGATTTGTGTCTACCACATAGAAAGTTAAGTTTCTAGATTGATTTGTCTCTGATTCTACACATAGTTCTAATGTTCCTAACACAGCAAGATTGGTTCCAGTGTAACTGATTAGTTTATGAGTTGATTCTTTGAGACTTGATTGGGGCTTAATCTTCTTGAATTGATTAAGATTGAGAATGTTCACCTGCGAACCAGTGTCCACCTTGAGGCTTGAGTTTCGTGTTCTGCTTCTCGATTTTCGTAGAAACATACCATTCATCATTTTGTACTTCTGACGTCACTGCTCCTACAAACAGTGTTTCTTCAAGGTATGAATCTTCTTGTCGGTCTTCAGCATTGACATTCTTTTTAGATCTGCACATAGCTTTGAAATTATTCGATTTATGACAGCGATGACACGTTTTCCCATATGCAGGACATTCTTTCCTTTTGTGTTTAGTTCCACAGTTACGACAGTTGAACACCTCAGACGTTAAAGGTTTCTCTGGTCGATTGGATTTCTTCGTTCTGCAGCTCAACCAAATCAAGTGCTTTGTCAAGGGTTAGGTCTGGCTCTCGAAGAAGTCTTTCACGAATTTTCTGATTTTTCACTCCAAGGACTATTCTGTCCTTGATGAGAGTGTCTCTTAATGTCCCAAATTCACAGGTCTCACTAAGCCTCTTTAATGTGGTGACATACTGATCAATGGTTTCACTGGTTTCTTGTGCTCTGGTGAAAAATATGTATCTTTCATAAGTTACGTTTTTTCTTGGCTCGCAATGTTCATCGAATTTTTCAAGAACTTTAGCTATCTTCTTACCATCTCCAACTGTAGCCAACACGAACGTGTCGTAGACATCCAATGCTTCGTTTCCTATGACGGTTAGCAATGTTGCGACTCGAGTTGCATCCTCTTTGCCGCTGATGCCAGTTGCTATTTCGTAGTTGAGATACCTCTGCTTGAATTTTTTCCAGTTTGCCGATACATTTCCACTGTTTAGATCCAATGTTTGAGGCGGTATTAGACCAAAATGCATCGCCATTGTTTACTTTCGTTGCTGAAACTTTGGTCTAAAATCTCTCCGAGAATACTGCTTCTTTCTTGAAAATGTTTTTATATTTAATTTGTCTGATGTTTAGACTAATATCCCACTCTTGACACGATTGAATTGATTGCGATTGAAAAGTATATTTTATTAAACTACATGAGAAAAACAATGTCAGTTACAGAGAGAACCCGAGAACATGAGCCCACGATGCTTGCAGCTGACCAATATTTAAATATGCTAAATATGCTAAATACACTAATCATTACACATGCACTCTACTCACTAACACCATAAAACATGTAAATGAAAATTGGCTATAGGAGGTTGACAAAATGCTGATGTTGTGCTGATAGTTATATAGTATACTAAATATATACTAATATACTGTCGGCTGGCTATATGCAGCTTTCTGAGGACTGGCGTTTCTTGCTTCAAGTCAATCCGTGCAAAACCTCTCTTTTTAGAAACTCTATTTTTAACCGAATTGTCTTTCTATGGAACAATCTCTCTCCGATCATTCGTAACAGTTCGTCTGTTTCATCCTTTAAGCTTCAGCTCCATTCTCACTACTCTTCTCAATTAGACTCTTCTTTCGATGTTAACAGAATGCGCACTTGGAAAACCTACTGCTCTAAATGCCGTTCTTTCAACTTAAGCTGT